CCACGACATCAACGACAAGGAGTAATGCCATCACCATTAAGATCCTCATACATGAGTTCCTCCCATCTGGTCAGGTAGCCGATCGAGCAAAAATACTTAAAAACTATTACTGGCTACTAAAATTAATCTTTGCTACTCAGTTTCGAAGTGTTATTGGTAATACAACACTACGTCTATGTTAACCTAATGAAAAAGCGCTAGTGTACAAAACAACGACAGGATGAACTAAGAATATCCTCACAAATGCTACTAGAAGCCTAGAACCCCTATTCAAAACTAAATCATTCATCCCTATTTTCTAAGTTGCAATCGACACGGTTGTACCCTTGTTAATCGTAATCGAAGGGATATGCCCACGAAGATGCCAATGTCCTGGTGGAAGAACAAATGGACTAAGGGACACTTGACGTGGCCATTGTGGATCCTGCTAAAGGATTTTGTTACTCTACAATTAGTAGGACATACTTTTTTTTTTGTCCATGAAGAAAAGGTAGCAATTATTCTTACTACTTTACGGAAGTGTACGCAGAGCATGTACAATAATGATGATTCATAATCCATTCTATAGTTTGGGCTTATTTTGCTGAGGATGAGAGAGAAAGGAGCAACTCGAGCATGAGTTAGGAGCAAACATAGTTATCTGAAATGTTGTATTAACTCCGTTTTTAAATATATGATGACTATTTTCTTAAACTGTAATCAACATATTTGTTCAATTAGTCAGGTATATGTAAAGTGAAAATAGTATCGTCAGATCTCTCTAAAAATAATTTAAGCTTTATTTGCTTATTTGCATAAATATTTTTATAAAATACAAATAGTCAAACAAATTTAAAAAATCAACTGCATATATATTTAAAAAATAGGTAGTACCATCCTTTTATACAGTACATAACTTTTATAAATACTAAGAATATTTAAATGGTCTCTGAATGACATGGACATCAACCAATCAAGTGCCTTATATATATATGATTAATTAAACGTGCCAAATCAACTTTTAGTGAAAGTGCCAAGGGAATTCAGGCCAAGTTAGCTCCCACCTACATTTCACAACTCACAAAAGAGCATGTAAAACCAATCATGCTTTCTAGGATTACTGCAGATGCTCTGTAGCCCCAACGGAGAGCGCGCGGGTGTCCTTCATAAGTATATAGGTTTTTAAATCACTAACTCACATCCCTTCATTTTTCGCACTCGCACTTTTCAAACCGCTAATCGGTGCGGTCTTTATAAAAATTTTCTATATAAAAGTTGCTTTAAAAAATATATTAATCCATTTTCCAAAAAATAATTAGTAAATACTTAATTAATTGTAAGAAAATGGTCGCTCTGTTTTGCGTGCGCGGGATGTGAGTTCCCAACCTCACCTCCCGAACACAGCCTAATACGTACATAGAAAAGATATCTATAAATTATTTCTTTTATATATAATAAGTTGCACTGCTTATAATTAGCATATAAATGAAATGCTCCACGTGTCATGTTGATCATATGGTTCCAAACCAAGCTTGTTAGGTTGGAACTAGCAACCTCGATAGTATGTCCTTATCGTGGATGGAATCATATATAAATAGTTGAGGGAGGCACACACATGGTATTCTGCTTGGAAACTACTCTAAAATATTATTATGCTTAGGAGTTAGGCGTACATAATTTAATTTAAGGTGTATTTGAGAGGGGGGGGGGGAAATGGAATATTGAGAAATACATAAAACGGGATGAGTTATTAGCACATAATGAATTGAGTATTAATTATTTTAAACTTGAAAAATAAGTTAATATGATTTTATAAAGCAACCTTTTTTAAGAAAACTTTTGTAAGAAAACAAACCGTATAACTATTCGGAAAACATGAATGTGGAAAACGAGAGCCTTTTCTCCCCTTTGTTCTTGTCCCTAATTTGTGAGAATATGGCTAAGTAGTATTCATAAATGTTGCTAGGGTTACAACACATTAATTGATTGTAGAGCATTGCTCAGCACAATAAGGTATGTCCTCCACGAGATTATGCAATTTCGTTGAATTATAACATAGAGGTGGACTGGACCAATTGCAAGATGGTGTCGTTTAATTTAATTTGTCTCTTTCAGTAGGTTTCAACTATTTTTACCACTATGCCGTGACTTTTTGGTTGAACTAGATGTGTTCATGGGTCAAACCTGATCTTTCGATGACCGAGATCATACCTTCAAGTGTTCTAACTAATAAACCCAAAAGACCAACTCAAAATTTTCTCGTAAATTAATGAGGCTCTGGTTGGAACTCGAGGGAATGTCGCTACGGAAAGAGAATTATTTGCTATCAAAACTTTAACAAAAATGTTTGGTAAAAGCTATACATTTGTCGATAAATTTTCTCTTAAAAATTTGATAAATATAATATGTAACTATCATACAATTTGTATGTAACTTTCAAAATCCCATGATAAGATGTTAATTTCGCGAACTAGAGGTGCACGCTATGATTTTTTCCCAACTTGCATGAATCTTGAGGTAAATTAAACGGTTTAAAATTATGTGAAAATTACATACAAGTTACATTGAAGTTATTTATGTAAGTTACAATGTAATTACACTATAATTAAATTGTATTTACATTTGACAATTTTTTGGAAGAAAAATTATCAACAAATATATACCAAAATCAAAATGTTTTCCATATTTTGAAAAAAAAAGCTTCTAGGCTATCATCAGCCTATCATGTTGAATTCATGATCAGTTTGAAGAGAGAGGAGAGGAGAGAGAATGAAGATAGAACTGTTTTGAATGGAGAAATAAGAGGGGGAAAAACAAAAGGGGAGTGAAGAGAAAGATGAAAGGGATAGACTACGCTCTCTGAGAAGGACATGGAAAGGAAAAAATAAATTACTATAAAACATTAGAACGGTATATACTACTATCTCCGTCCCATATTACTTGTCTTTTTGAGTTTTTGATTGTCAATGTTTGATCATTCGTCTTATTCAAAAAATTTTAGAATTATTATTAATTTTGTTTGTCAATTGCTTTATTATCAAAAGTACTTTACATATGACTTATCTTTTTTTATATTTGCACTAAGTTTTCAAATAAAACGAATGGCCAAACGTTGCAAATAAAAAGTCAAAAAAGTCACCTATTATGGGACGGAGGGAGTACATTTTAGTGAGTTGAACAAATTGTACTATTTGATAGGCATATAATGTGAATCAAATTAAAGAATTAAGATTCTATTTGATCTGATGCTGAAACAAGCCTTACCAACAATGTTTTCTTTTTAAAAAAAAATGCGAAGAAGTGCCCAACCCATTCCATTGCAAACGAAAGTTATGTGCATTGGTTTGTATTAATTAATCAACCTCAAATAAAACAACACACCACACACCCTACCAGTATTTTTGAACAGATCAAACATACTGACTTATCTAATTTTTGACTTACTAACATGATAAGATATATCTTTTACAAGGTGGCAATGCACAGAGGCAATAACGGTTGTTGGTGAAAGGTGGTGGCATAGAGTGAAAGACCTAGTTAATCTAGTATTGAGGTTGGTAGGGGCTGGCTGGCGAAGAAGGAAAATTGGTGTGAGGGTGGACACGTGCTGGCATTGTTTGGTGGTTGTTAAGCTTGTGGGCGTTTAGGGCACAACTACAAGGTGACATACGAGTTCTAGGAGAAAGCCCGATCTATAGTATTCTAGGATAGCAGTGGCAATGCCTTTGGATGCTGCAACTATCTTCAAGGTGGTGTCGAGGTGCCCTTCTTCCTATCCGATAGAAATTTTTAGATGAAATGATATCCAGATATCCTTGGACGGGCAATAATAATGTCTTCATCGTCGCAACTTTCTTGGTGTTGTCGGTTTGGAGGATACGTTTTTTGAGTGCGATGTAGGCCGGCGATGATTGGTCTTGAATAGAGGTTGGTTCCTAAATTTGTGCTATGCTATCTCCTTCCTAGCGGTGTGGTCTTTTTCCCCCTTTCTTTCAGGACTATATAGGTCTTGTTTGGATTTAGGGACTAAATTTTAGTCCTTGTCACATCGGATATTTGAACACTAATTAGAAGTATTAAACGTAGACTAATGACAAACCCATTCCATAACCCTAGACTAATTCGTGAGACAAATCTATAATTAATCTATGATTAGCCTATGTGATGATTCAGTAAATATGTGCTAATTATGGATTAATTAGGCTTAAAAAAATTGTCTTGTTTATTAGCTCTCATTTATATAATTAGTTTTGTTATTAGTCTATGTTTAATACTTTTAATTAGTGTCTAAACATATAATAATTTATAATTTAGTCCTTGAATCTAAACACGACTTATAGGTAGTCTAATATTTTTTCATGCTACGAAGTACCTTGATATGGAACTTTGTACAGTGCGTTTTATTCCAAAGAGAAAGATGACTATAAAGTAGTAAAATCAAACATGTGCTTGAAACTTGCTTTTTCACAAGTTCATCCATTATCCCGAACTAGAATCTGCTCGAGCGAAAGCAATCTATCCTCCTAGAGTCAAACATGTCATAATCCCTGTCCTCCTCAGTTCGTATCCAAGAATGCGATGCCAATCTCCAGGACAAAGGGGAAGGCGAGGACGGATGATCCCGAGATGCCACCACCGTTGTCGCCGTGTTTACGTATATTATTACTTCGTCGGGAAAAAAAAATAGTAAGACCCCGACAGAATAATTAACTATCTGTCACTTTTATAAGTGGTGTTAAATTATTTATCACCAGACCATATGCTATAGATCCTATATGTAATAGACAGCGAGTGAAAAATAATTAATTACCATCTTTTAAAAGTGACGAGAAGTTTAATGTCCTAGCCCCGACGCAACACAATCACATAAAAAAAATTTCCAGGGGGTCTGGGTGTAAAAAGAAAAGGTGGAATTATGTGGGAGACGCAGGGGCGTGGATGCAAAAAGGTGGGTGCGTGTCCTCGAATCCAGCGCCGCGCTCGCAGCTTCCCTTCTCCCCGTCGCAGCGGGGGTGATGACTCAGCACCCCCATCCCCACCCCCCCAAATCTCCTCTCTCTCCTCTCCTCTCCTCTCCTCGCGTATAAAGCCGGCGGCCGCTTCTCCGTCAAGCTCCCCCCCTCCATGACGCCTCGCTCCTCCGCCGCCGCCTCCGCCTCCGCCTCCGCCGCCGCCGCGGCACAGCGTCGGAAACCCTAGCCTGCGCGGGGGCGGCCGGAGGACAGGGAGGTTGTTTGTTTGTTTGTGTGTATCATACGGATACGGCGGCATGGCCAGCGGCGCCGAGTCGTGCGGCAGCCGCGGGGGGGAGTCGCCACCACCGCCGCGGACGCGGGGGGCGTCGGCGGGGGGCAGGCGGCGGAAGGCGGAAGCCTACCGCGAGGTTCTCCGCCGGATCCGCGGGGGCGGCGGCGCGCTCGACGACGACGAGCTCTGGGCCCACTTCTACAGCCTCCCCGCCAGGTTGATTTTATTTTACCTAGTATAATACCCTCTTCTTCTTCTCTCTCGCCGCCTCTGCTGCTGCTTTGGGATTTCGACGCCTCGGGTTTCGTGCGCGATGAAGGGAGGAGCACTAGCTGCTACTGCGCGTGTGCTGTGGATTCTTTGGGGGGGTCCAGCGGATCGCACTGCAGGTCAGGAGCTGTGATCCATGGCCGCTACAGCTAAACATCATGTGTGGGTGTGTGTGTGGCTTGCCTATGCCCTCTTCCCTTTGCTGCTGTTGCTGTTGCTGGTGGTGGTGGTGAAAAGATTGCATCGGCGGTCGTGCCGTAGGTCGCCGTGGTCCACGCATGCTGCCACTCGCGGATCAGGGATTCAGAGGTCGGGGAGATACGCCCGCTGGCATTTCTCTATCTATCGATCTCTCTCTCTCCTCTTCGGTTCCAGCTCTTCTTGTTGTTTGTTTGATGGCCATCAGGCCAAGCTACCACCACCAGCACCTCCAGCAGGAGCAGTAGCAGGCTAGCAGCTAGCTCGGTCGTGTAGCAATCACTAGTACAAGCAGTACAACACCTCGTAGTACAAGTTGCTGCCTTTTTGCAACCACGTGAGGAGGACCATACTGTTTTCTTTCTTTTTTTTTCTCTCTCTCTCTCTGGATAAGAAGAGTAGAAGACTGAGCTATGCTTGTCGGCATACATGTCTGATATTAATTCCATCTCTCTCAAGAAAATGAAAAGATGTTTGATATTGACTGTTTATCAAAACAAGGCTTCTTTTTATTTTTTTCCCCCGTGAATAGTTATCCTTGTCCAGTATATGTTTGTTCTTTCGTAACAAGTATATTTTGAGCTAGCTTGCCTTTTATCATGCCAGAAATGTGCTGCTTTCTGCATTCCTCGTAACGATTGGCACTGCTTTCTGGCGTGATATTACACCTTTCTCGTCTCTACTTCCTTTGGTCATTTTGTCTCTGTGTTCCATGTGTTAAATTCTGGGCTTGTCTTGCCACAGTACATAGCATTAGTCATTAGAGTAGAGCCTTAAACCAAGAAACTAAGCAAAGCTTGTTAGATAAAGTGCTGCAGCATTGCATACACATGCCTTTCCGAAGCCCTTAGCTTGAATAAGCGACATGCTGAGAACTTGCTACTTGCTAGCATTAGCTTGAATAAGCCATGCATGTTATTATGATCTAATTGCAGACATGCTTGGCTTCATGCATTGAACAGGTATGCTTTGGATGTGAATGTCGAGCGGGTTGATGATGTTCTACTGCACAAGAGGTTGCTTGACCAGGCCCGTGAACCAATGAATGGGCTGGTCTTCGATGTTCGTCGTTCGCAGGTGATTAATGCATAACATGACCTGTCTACCTCTTTTCTGAAACCGACTAGGCATCGCTTGATGACCGTCGCATGCTCGTATATTGGCTAGTGTCTAGGATAAGACCTCAACATTTTCATAACCAAGTGCTGTTAGACACCACAGTACCATGTGACGTGTTGTGTAATACGATGTACCTTTTGTGCCATCCTTACAATAATCAGTTAATCACTATCCTGTAGAAGTGTAAATCACATATCCTTGATTTTGAAACTGCATTTGTTAACTGCTGGTTATTTTTATTTTATGTACAACAGCTGCTTTTGCTTTTCTAAAGCTTGTCTCACTGTTTCAATTTGTTCTGTTGGAAAGTTACTGAGCTATAACTTTGTTCCTGCAAGTCAGAGTAATAGAAAAGGACGATGATTACTATTTTTTTCTCCTCCTTTTTGTGCATTTATCTCTTTAATATTTTCATACGCCATAAATTTGTTACAGTTTGACTTAACACATATATAGAGATTATTATCGGATTATAATATGAGAAGCACAAACTTATGAACTGATTAATGGGATCTACTAGCCTATGTGTTTTGTTGAACATAGTTTGATATCTCATTAGAACATATTTCATATCAACTACGTGAATGTGCACCTTTTAGGCTGCTACTCTGGATGGAAGCACTGAAGTTGAGCAATCAACTTCCTTTAAGCATGAAGTACAAGATCCTCAGTGCTCATCGTTCACATCGAGAGACCAAAGGTGATTTTGATTCCAGCATTTTTTGTCATTGAGTTGAGTTACAAATTGTTTTGGATAGCATCACATCAGTACAGATTAGAGATGGCAATGGTGAATTCACCGTCGGGGGTCACCGCTGCGTCCCCATCACCGCGGTGAAAAAATTTCACCGTCCCCGCCCCCGTCAACCACGACGGGGGTACATTTTCTCCAGCCCCGATCACCACGCGGTGATTTTTTCCCTGTGGTGACCCCGTATCAATTAGGGATTAGGGATCGTAGCATGAGCTGACCTTGCATCGTCACTGTCGTAGCTTACCGGGGGGCGGAGGCCGAAGCCATGGTCGGCCGTCGGCGGATGGCGTGCTGGCGGTGGACGACGTGCGGGCGAGTGACGACGGAAGGCGCTGGCGGACGTCGATGGCGATGGCGGCTCCCGGTGACTACGGCTGCAGGCGCCGTGCCTGACTGCGCGTGGACGGAGGCTCCCGGCGGCTGCCGGCGGCGCGTGGACGGAGGCTCCCGGCGGTGCATCGACGGGTGCCCGCGCCACGCGAGAGAAGGCAGCGAGCGGCGGTGCGCCTGGCTCTCGGCGGATTGACGGTGCATGGTGGCACGCCTGACTCCCGAGCTTCCCGGCGGACTAGCGGACGGCGGTGGTGGGCTGGTGGCTGCGTGCGGATCTGGAGGATTTGGTATTTTGGGTGGAGAATTTGAAGTTGACTGGTTGACTTAGGGTTAGAAGTTATATATGCCTGTTAAATGGGCTTTAGTATTATGGGCCAAAACATGTAAAAAGTCTAGAATTAGTCCTCTATACAGTAAAGTCGGGTCACCGCGGGGGGCGGGGACGGGGAATGGTTCACCGTCCCCGCCCCCGTCATCCCTGATGGTGAGAGTATTGTAACCATTTTATTCCCTATGGTGAATACATATTAAACATCCCCGTCACCTAATAGGTAAATTCACCGCGGAGAAACGGTGAACGAGGCCCCATTGCCATCTCTAGTACAGATGTTTATTGATGTGTCCTATTTCCCCTTTTGAAATATAATTTCGATATCCTTTTGTCATGCTTCTGAGGAAAGTACACAAACAAACATATCTTGTATGATTCCTTAAAAACTGTTGCATCTCGATGTCCTTATTGGGATTCTTCGCATTTAAGTAGCTTTTTGGTCGTACTGATCCTAGGGTCAGTATTTTCTGATATGTGATATCATTGCAGGTGTTTCCATGAAATTATATTTGCATGTGACGATAAGCCTAAGCTTCTTAGCCAGGTAAAGTAATAATTCTTATTTTGAGATGGAAAATATCTTTTCTTTAGTAGTAGCATATCAATTTGTGCTATTGGTATGTGAATTACATTTTTTATGTGACAATTTGTTATGGCCAATAAGGTTGAGCCTCAAATTGCTGAAAATTCTGCCCACGTAATGCCATTAATGCATGCAGTTGATGTTGTTGTGAACTTCAGGTTCTTAGCAATGAAATAGGTACTTGCATTTGTAGGCTACAGCCAACGTGTAGTCTGTTGATGTTACCTAGGTCCAGGATATACAGTTTCGTTCAGTCTAATATGCAGAATGACATGCAGGCACCACTAACATGCATTGGGTCCTATATCATGTTGCACATTTCTGATGTACTGATGTGTTTGGACGTTAAATATGCTGCTAGAGCGAGGTGAGCATGATTTTCTATGGACAACAGGATTAGTATGATTGTGAAGATCCTTGAAAAAGTAGAGTTCAGTCAGATACAATCATACATAAGTTGACAGGGAGATTGGATTATTATGAGTACATTATAGAAGGTCAACTATAGAAAGTTGTAACAGAGTGGTCCCTTTTGCGTTCATCTGTTAGTTGTGGTGGACTGGTGCTTTTATGTTGTGTGCTGCCATCTTTAGTGTTGGTAACAATGTCTTCTCAATACTGATCTATTTGTCCACGTGCTAGTCAAAGTATGCTAAGCACTTCATAGAAATTAAAGTACCTGGTTATCCATAGGTTCTGCTCTGTAAGGACACTTAATTGGCAAACACATGTACACTCTGCATGAGAGTTCAGTATTTTCATGAGTGAAGGTAATATTAGGTGGGTTGAAAGTTCACTTGTACATTCTAAAGATAAACCCAAATAAGAAATTAAGTTTTATTGCACCTGAACTTATTTCCAGCTTAATTTGAAGACTTGCATGTTTTTATCTGCTTTTCCCCAACAATGCGTTCACATCATTTTAAACCCAAATAGCCAAATCTGTGGTTCAGCTGCTCACATTTTGCAGAATTCACAAAGCATATCCAGTTATATGTGGAGTTGTGTGTGTATCATGATATCACATTGCAGACTTTATGGTTTTATAAAGTTGTGTTTTTTTTTTGGTTTGTTTTGCCTCAGTTCCGCAGTGTGAATCTGTTCATCTGTATCTGAAAGCATAACAGTAACAGTTTATTGTTCTGCAAATAATAATTATGAAACTTTATCAGCTTCAAGCAACACAAGGGAAGAATAAAAAAGGGCTGTTATGTTCAAAAGTTATATTCTTGATAAACTTGGTTCTGTTCGCTAGCTTCGCATGATTCTCAGTACTGATGTCATTATGCCCAAGTTATTTACTTAATTACTTTGTTTTGGGGACAATTTACAAAAGATCTGATTGTTTTTCATCCAGCTAACCGCTCTACTTGGGGAACTTGGCCTTAACATCCAAGAAGCACATGCATTTTCGACGAGTGATGGCTATTCTCTTGACATCTTTGTTGTCGATGGCTGGAGTCATGAGGTAACTTAATATTTATCAATTGTAGTTCCTGTAATGAAAAAAGGAACCATCTCTATTCTTGCTTGCCAGGTGTATATATTTCTTATTCATCTTGAATGTCAGGCCATTTAAACTGGTATTGTAATGCTCAACTACAATTTCTACCAATGTAAATAAATATTTAGTCAAGTAATATTGTATATTCTCAGGGTAAGATTGTGAATTAAATTCAGATAGTGCGTTACACTTACTTTTTTTCTAACCTAAAAGCTGTACAATAAATATCAGATACTTACAAAAGCCTAGAGCATACAAAAATTGTTAAATTTTAAAACAAGAAAATGTTCAGAAGTTTTATAAACCTTTATGGAAAGCCATAAAATTTCTGAAAACTGTACATATATATTTGAACAGTTGCAAATACAAAAATTAATATTATTTTCTTCGATATTTAAAATTTTTGAGATTCTAGTTAAATATCTGCGTGTTACAATGATCTTGCAATGAATATGTCGTAAATCCATTTTGATTTGATTTTTTAAACTAATTTGCACAACCACTGTATAGTTTATTTTAGTAATAGGAACTTGTATTATACTTTTAGCTCTATGTTCAAAGTTGCTAGTAGTCTATTCATTATACTGGATGTTTTTGGAACCACATTAAATTGTCACGTTATGCTATATACAGTATACTGTTAGCATTTTCTAAAATTAGCTGAAATGTTACTTGTATCTATCTTAATATAATGGTAATGCTATTTGAATATTAGCTTGTAAAGAAGGCATGCAAATTTGAGTGTTGCTACCAATTGAGCAACTGTAGTTCAAGCTAACCTAAAAATTTCTTCCATTCCATTGTTCTAATGCTCTTGTTACCCTTTTGAAAAATATGCCACCACCAGGTATCTATGTTGTAGTTATTGTTTGACAGCATGCTAATGGCACGAAGGAAGCAAAATAAAGTTGGCATACTCAGTTGCATGTAATGCTTTGGGCCCTCTAGTGTACTATAGCAAATCAAGTTTGTCATATTTGTCATAATTGTTTATAGAGAAAATTGCAATATTAGGACTGCAAACATGGTGGCTTCGTTGTTTTGACACTCCGTGTGGATGACAAATGGGCCCATCTGTGTCTATGAAATGTGGGTCCAGTGTCATTATAGCAAAGGTTAATGTTTGCAGTGTCATAATTGCAAATCCCCCATAAGAAATGACTCATACTGTAGCAAAGATGCAACTATTGCAGCCACTTAAATACTAACAAAAATATATGAGCCTATGTTTGCAAATTATGTTACATTTTTCATACTTGTTTCTTAAAATGACCAGGTCGATGTTCTACGAGATGCATTAAGGAGAGGAGTTGAAAAGATAAAGGTAACAAGATCAAAGAATGCTTTTCCTCTAATTTGGTCTGAGCTGTTTTGCCTACAGAGCACCACCAGTGATTAAGATCTTGTTCTCAGTTGTTACTTTTGTTCAGCAATTATATTGGTTCAACAAATAACACCCTAGACTCTTCGGTAAACTGAATTAGCATGGACCCATATAATTGGCGTACACCAGTGTAACTGTTATAATAATTAGTATACTTTAGGGGGTGAAAATTAAATGGTTCTGAGTTCAGGATGAAAATTGGACTTTGGAATGTAGGTCGATGGCTGTAGATTTTTTTTTACTTTAAATAACCATGAGGACCAATCTGCAAACGAACAATAAAATAAGCCCTGGTCATGTTATGTGCACTTTAGTATTTAAAGTCCATTTCTGTGTGGATTTGCGTCTTCTAAGTTCTTTTTAAATATTAATGCAGTACAAAGCATGGCCATTGGTTCAGTCCATGCCTACTAGGACAGGTCACGAGCTAATGGAGGATTCTCCTCCAGCTGATTTTGTCCAGATTCCAGCTGATGCAACTGATGTTTGGGAAGTTGATCCAAGGCTTCTAAAATTTGAACGAAAATTAGCATCTGGATCATTTGGTGATCTGTACGTTCTATAATCTTAATTAACAACTCCACTTTTCATGTAACTAAATTATAGCTGTGTTAATCACCAGATACCATGGGACATACTGTAGTCAAGATGTAGCAATCAAAGTACTCAAGCCTGAGCGGGTCAGCGTTGATATGCTGCGTGAGTTTGCACAGGAAGTATATATAATGAAGTGAGTGATGAGCTTTGCTTATGCTGAATCTTGTCTGTTAGTTTATTTTAAGCCGCATTTTAATTTCAAAAAGTTTTCCAAGAAAAACTTTTCTGTAGGGTATGAAGATTAAACTTTGACCTTTAATTTATTGTAGAACATATTCTTAGCAGCTATAAAACTAATATTATGTTAAAGTACTTTCAAATATGAATCTAGTACGTATGATTTTAGTACACTGAATGTACTGGTAATTTGACTAATTGCTTGTCGAAATCAACAAAGTTTGATCTTAATGAAATTAAAATATGCCTTATAGATGTCATGGAGGGAGTAATAAACTTTGGTCATGAAATACATCTGTAAGACATTCATTTTACTGATGATAAAAACTGCACTCTCGAGAATAATAAATATGTTAAAGTAGTTCCATGGTTATATTCTTAGGAAATGAATAATTCTTTTCATAGTTCATTACGCACATTTTAGGTTTACTAACCGGGGACAATATTATTGTTAGGTACTTAGCCAAAACTTCTCAAATTTAGAGGATTATTACTGGAATAGTCTTAAGACACAATGAAAATTTAGAGGATTATTACTGGAATAGTCTTAAGACACAATGAATACACTCGATTTTTGTTTTTTCAAATTGATAAGACTTGCCACCTTTCTACTTGATGTATTTCTTTACTTAATCCTATTTTCGCAGAAAGGTTCGTCACAAGAATGTTGTGCAATTTATTGGTGCATGCACCAGACCACCTATTTTGTGTATAGTTACAGGTATACAGGTCTAATGTGTAATAGTACTTGTGCAGAATAGGCCTTAAAGTGGAAACTTTTCTGTTTAAATTGTTCAATATTTCTACCGTGAATCATGATTGATGTAAGTTATTTAGTTCTATTCTATTTCATTCCCAGAGTTCATGCGTGGAGGAAGTATTTTCGACTTTCTTTACAATTTTAGAGGAACTTTTCAGCTCCCTGATGTGTTAAGAATTGCCTCTGATGTATCCAAGGGGATGAACTACCTGCATCAAATTAACATTGTCCACAGGGACTTAAAGACTGCTAATCTTCTTATGGATGACCAGGTACTTTGACTGCCCATCTTGTTTTCTTGTCCTGTTTTGCAACATATGTGCCAACTACAGTCCCCACATCTTGATATAATTGATCACTTGAATCTTAGGCTTGTAGCATAAGCTATTATTTCTGATACCCTGATCCTGTTGAGATACTTTTAAATAAGATCGAAGATGGTCAAACTCAGTATCTGTTGTTTCTTATATGTTTGCAAAGAGGCCACTTGCCCATTTGTCTTTTTTTTGTTTTTCCTTCTTCCTGCCCCTTGCTGTTGACTAGTGCCACAACTGAGCCACTATACTGCTAACACAGGGACGTACATACTGGACTTAGGGCAACGCCTGTAAGTAAAGATTGAGTCAAGCTGCATAATTGATTAGTGATTATCTTGAATCTGTAATGTCTAATGTGACACTTCTTGTTGGGCATGAATTAGCATGCATCTATGCTTTAATAAAGAAGAGGTATTTAATTCCCCTCATAATTTGCAGGTTGTCAAGGTTGCAGACTTTGGAGTAGCCAGAGTTAAAGACCAGTCAGGAGTTATGACTGCAGAAACAGGAACCTATAGATGGATGGCTCCTGAGGTTACCTTTTGTCATTTTCTTTGAAGAATCTTTGTGAATTTTCATTTCATTGCTTGTAGTTTATCACAAATCGGTGAGCTATATACTGAACGCGAGGACTGCAGAATCCCTTCTGCAATCTGCTTGCTCACACTACCGAGAGGTTTTTGAACGTTTTGGTTCAAGTGGCAAAGTCATTGGGGGCTTATCATATATAATTAGATTGAAAGAGCAATGACTAACCTACTCTGTTCTCTGGGGTACTTTTATGCTAGCACATAACCCTAACCTAAGCCTTTTGTGATCAATCCCTTCCCACTGCTACTTTGCTTGTTGTACAACAAGACAGACTCCTATAATGTGCTTGAATATAGCTTGTTTACTGACTGCACCATGTGTTGCTGTTCGATGTTGTGTTTTTAAGGATAGTAGAATCAAATCCTCATACTATCAGAAGTACGAAAAATTCTAAGAGACTTTTGTGGGTTTGCACCCCTGGAACTTTTAAAAGAGACTTTTGTTAGAGTAACTAGTGCATTGCCTATTGAAAAGAAACTAGATTGGCAGTTCGCACATAACCTATGTTCAGAAATATATCATTAATTTTGCAATTGAAAATATTATCATAAAGTAGCAAATTTATAACTTACTGATATATATATATATAACAATAGAGGTCTGTGTTGCATGTTGGAGACTTGGAAAAAGTTTCTTAAGATATTGGGATGAGAAGTCCGTTAATTTGATGGCACATATATCTTCTTAAAGCTGTACATACATGTGTCATCTTCATTATGCAGTTTACATTTTGCCTCTTAATCTCTTATGGAGCAACTCCTTGTTATTGTTGTTGTTTTTGAGATATGTTTTAATAGAAATCATTGCAGGTCATCGAGCACTTGCCCTACGATCAGAGAGCAGATGTTTTCAGTTTCGGGATAGTTATTTGGGAGCTGCTGACTGGAAAGGTTCTGTTACACATGCCAAGCGGTTATGTTTAGATTCTCTGCACTTGACATCTGTGCTGAACTTTTGCTTTTCTGTTTTCTGCTACTTTTTTCTCAGCTTCCTTATGAAGATATGACGCCTCTTCAAGCAGCCGTTGCCGTTGTCCAAAAGGTACGAGATAACAAACCTTACTTTTGCCATCTTATAGTTCTCCCAAGAAAGAAACTGTGCTGAGTTGGGACCTGGCAACTAAATATGCACTCTGCAATACACGAGTCACTAATTGCTGTAAGTTTAGAGAAGAGGAATCTGGGGATTGAACAGTTGATTCATTGAAGGCCCAAAGGAAGCATATATACATATATATACACACACAGTAGATGAGAAATGATCCTTGATATTGCACTTTCATGTTTGCAGGATCTGAGACCTATCATTCCTGCTGATACTCATCCTATGCTTGCTGGTCTACTTCAGAAATGCTGGCAGAAAGATCCAGCTCTAAGACCAACTTTTTCAGAGATTCTTGATATACTAAATTCTATAAAGGAGGTTTGTATATTTGATGGGATGTCTATAAAATTTCTCAGTTCGATTTGTGTTTTCCTTTCATTTGATTTTTTTTTCATTTTGTGCAATCAGCAGGCTGTTCGAAGTTCTGGACATCAGAAGAGACACTCAGGTCGATCTTATTCCAGGCAGAGACGAAGCGGTTGATGCAGCAATTTTCCTTTTTTTTTAAAAAAAAAATCTTGTTTCGGTTTAGTTTCTGAAATGCGGCAGGTTTTGTTTAGCGTTCCACACCCTCCCTTTTGTTATGGTCATTTCCACGGCGAGCAATTTTTACTTGGTTGTATCTCAGCGGTAACGTTGGAATATAATCTGGTGAGTTTCTTGTATTTTTTTTTCATGTCGTGAGCTGGTGTAAACGATTGTTGATTATAATCCTTTCAGTTCAACCACGAGATGTCATGACTTCTTTTTTTTTAAAATCATCCTTTTAACTCTCTCAGGTCTTTTGATGTGTGACTTTGACCATAATTTTGTATTAGGATAAATCTGATAAGTTTAAGAGATAATAATATTTATCAAGGCAAGCCTATAGTTTTCTTAAAAAAAAGAGGCAAACCTATAGCATTTTTACGTCTTGAAATTAAGTATTTTATTAAAAGTTATTGATGATTAAAGTTTCGAAGGTTTGTTTCCAGAACGTTAAGAGGAGAGGTCTTATGAACCTTCTTTTCGAGAACGAAACCACGTATGTCTAACAAATGGCATACCAAAAAGGGAAAAGAAAAAAGGTAGGAAGAGTGGCTTTTTCTGATGGTACAAAAAGTCCAAATCGATTCAAGTGCCTGTTTCAAATTTCAAATTCAAATGCTGCGTTTGTTCATTCGTGAGGTCCATGCTCCACCTGTTTGTAATCTTGTTTAGGAATAAGTTGTCGTCCCTTAACTTGGTTTGATTGACATTTCTAATTTCAAATATCAGAAATCTTCAACTCTAAACTATACAAAATCGTACAATTAGAGTCCCATGGTAGTATAGACCCCATTTCCTCCTATTTTTGTTTACGTGGCAGATATCTGAGCCCACATGTCAACATGCTGAGTCACCCATGCCGTTTCAACGTGCTCTCGTTGGCTGTTTGGCAGGATGTCCTCCTACGCCTGCAGCGCGTCCACTGACATCGATTGATAGAGACACCGACGCTGTGATGATGGTGTGCATGAACTGCATCTCCCTCAGCTCATCAAGGTCAAATCAAATCATTCACGTCGTAACGAGCGGGCTAGAGCCGGATTGCACCATTCACGCTGTAACGAGAGGGCTAGTGCTGGGCCGTCACTCTACCTCTAGGGCCATCACCACTACGCTCAAGGCCATGCCGCCACATGCATCCAAGCCGCCTAAGCCGGCGTGCCATTGTTGCGCCTTGAGGGCAGGCCACTGCTACGCGTTGGGCCCGCCCAGACGCGACTGTGCCTCAATGCTATCCGATTCTACGTGTCGGGGCCAACCAACCGATGCGCTGTTGCTCCATCTAAAGGCTGCACCGTGGCTCGACCATGAGGCTGGGGCTGCCCAGCCACCACTCCGGCTTGAGATGGCGAACTTGGCGCTAGCGGTGGAGTCATCATCAACCTCTATGCAAACGCTGCTGCCGTCAGGAGCTAGCAAACAGGCAACGAGAGAGCTCACTCCGTTGACACGGCATTGGTGATAACATGCTGATAAGTGGGCCCAAATATCTACCACGTAAGTGAAAACAAGGAAAAATATGATCTATACTGCTATGGACCTAAGGTGCATGGTTTTATACAGTTTAGGGTATAGACTTCTGGTATTTGGGAGTATGGATGTCGATCAAACTCGACATAAAGTTGAGAGTTGGCCGGTGGACTTATCCCTCCTGTTTATACCACCGTGTTGTTGTGACCCATGGTCAGCCCGGCCCAATAAACACACGAAGGCCCAATAGCCCAAACAATCTAAAACCCTAGAAATCCAATATACAAAGGTAGTGTGCTCCTGCCTCCGCGTGGTTTCCATCCCCGCGCGCGCCGCCCCTCTCCGCTGCCGGCCTCCGCTCCTCCTCCGGCGCCGTCGCCGTCCCATCGGCCTCCGCTTGCCGCCCGCTCCGCGCTATTCACCCCGGCCGGCAGGTGAGCATCGGTTTCCCTCTCCCCGTTTTCCCCCCATGGTTTGGGTTTCTCCGAGGCAAGGGGAACCGCGTGCGTGTTTGTTCTTGCCGTTCGGAGTCGCCGTTGATGCCGCCGCGAGTATATAGACATAATCACTGAGATGCATGTAATGAAGTATCTGGAGCGAGCGAATGGATAAACCCTAATCTCTCCCGGCTCCTCCTTTGAAGGAGTGAAGAAAAACTAGACTGTTATTATCATTCAATTGTGACTATCATTTTCTTAGCTTCGTGCTGCATGATTGTTTTGATTGACTTATCTGTATGTATTGCATTCTGTGGTGCCTATCATTTATGGGATTGTGCTGATTGATTTATCAATCCTGCAGTGACAATGGCAAGGCTTGCAGCTGAAGACCCATTGGTTCGCGATGAAGCCATATTGGATGATGATGATGATGATGTTGATACCGACGAGGAAGAGTCCGAGTCGGAAGATGATTCAGGGGAGGAATTCCATGCCGAGCCTTCCAAGAAAGCTGTCTACAACAAGGAGGGGATCCTGGAGAAGCTCGAGGACATTGCGTGGCCGGAGAATGTGGACTGGAGGCACAAGCTCACTATCGAACATGACCAGGGGGAGAAAGTCGATGTGAACGACGATCTTGCTCGTGAGCTTGCGTTCTACACGCAGGCTTTGGATGGTACGAGGCAGGCCTTTGAGAAGTTGCAGTCTATGAAGGTCCGGTTTCTCAGGCCGGCTGATTACTATGCTGAGATGGTTAAGACCGACGCTCACATGCACAAGATCAAGGGGAGGCTCTTGTCTGAGAAGAAGAAGATTGAGGAGGCTGAGGAGAGGAAGAAGGCGAGAGAGGCCAAGAAGAGGGCGAAGGAGGTGCAGGCACAGAAAGAAAAGGAGAGGGCCAAGCAGAAGAAAGAACAGATTGAGTCCGTCAAGAAGTGGAGGAAGCAGAGGCAGCAAGGGGGCTTTGCCAAGGGAAATGATGATGGGCCAGATCTGAATTTTGAAGGTGACGAAGGGTTCAAGCAATCAAAGAAAAAGAGGCCTGGTGTTTCTCCTGGTGATAGGTCTGGTGGTCTTGCTAAGAAGGGTAAACAAGGAAAGAACAGGAAATCAAGGGATTCCAAGTTTGGGCATGGTGGTCGGAAAGGGCTGAAGAAGCAAAACACTGCGGAGACGACAAATGACTTCAGAGGATTCAACCAGATGGACAAGTCACAAAACAAGAGGAGAAAAATGGGTTGACGCGATATTGTAAGAATCTGCGTCTGCTTCCTTGAGCTGTATTACTAGTTGTTTTTGGTAACTTTATTTTACTGCAGTACATCGTTGCTAGATGCGAACGTTAGTTGAGATAGATTGTAGGAGGCAGTTAAAACAAAAGACCATTTTATGTTTTAACTATGCTGTTCTCCACAAGATATTTGCATGTATCTGGTGATGGCCCTTTTTCGTTGTGTGATGTGGAAGAATCAATCTTACCCTGGAATTATCCTAAGAGTGTCTTAAGGATGCTTGGTGCACTTCCTGTTTTGATATGTTATCTTTCTGACCGTTATTTTATATTGATGCAACAAAACTGAAACGTAAACAACACTTTCCTATTGTGTTGTAAATTTGTTTATTGGTGAGTCAAGTCTCCCTCTCTTCTATCTTAGATTATACTCCAATCAGCATAACTCATTTGGTTACCTTGTTTCTTTCCCTGTAGTTTCTAGTGAATGATATCATTTGTGAGTTTCCTCACTGCATTAGTTGTGATGGAATTTCAGAAAGAGCTTGCTTTTGTACTGCATTTGATTGTGATGCTTCCTTGCTCTTCATGGTGGATGTGCATGTCCATGTGGAGTGGATACCATTTCCCATTAAGATCGTGAATATGGTAGTAGTACTTTTGCATTATAGCTACAGTGTCCTTTTGGTCTTTACCTCGATTAGCTTGGAATGAGCTATACTGATAGTGATTTGATGCATGGAAGCCCATGCTTATGTTGCTTCTTTGCTGGTGATGGTTGTCTATGATTTGAAAGCAATTGCCTACTACATGTTACAACATATCCTCTGAAAATATCTGCTAGTATTATATAACCTCTTGCAGCTGCACTAGTGCGTTAAGAAGCTGCTACTATAATTCTTGTGATGTGTTTTTTTCTTGTATATTATCTGTCCGATCATGTTGATAGAAATTTTTACGCGAACTAGCAAAGTGCCCATGCTTTGCTTCGCAGCCGAACAGACCTTATAGGTAAAAGAAAATATACAATAATATGTCATAGATAAAAAATATTTCTTATTAGTATTGCTTGTTTACTTATTTAAATACATGGTATTTATTTGATTTAAACAAATATTAGAGTATTGCATAATATCAAAAAAAAAATATTAGGGACTAATTTGTAAAAAGTGCTAAGTAGTGGTGGTGGCAGGACCATCACCGCTAGTGGCTTTTATAGTAGTATAGATTATGAAGTGGGGGAATGTTTTGATAGTCCTTGACCGTACATTTGAGGTGGAGGAAATTTCTATCCTATGTCATCTCAGTCATTTATTTGTTTGTATCCAAGTCTGTCACTTATATGTGATGAAGACTAGATTGCATCATGCATGCCATGGCTTGTTATTATTATGATACAGCTACTTCTTTGGATGCTTTAAACCTATTTTCTCATGAGTAAACCTGTAAGTGTTTAAAAGAAATGCCAGTATCCACTATCCAGTCATCGATCATCTGTTTTAACAGTGAGTGAAACTATTTTACTAACCTTAACGGTGAGTAGTTTTGAAGTCAGGAGATAAGGATGATATATGTGGCGTATCTGTTATATATTTTCCATCTTGAGTGTTTGCTTATTCAGTAGAGTGTTTTTTCATTAGAGTTTGAGTCGATGCTCCTGGAATCATGGTTAATTGTTATCAAGCATTGGGAGGGTGACTTGCCTAAAGTCCTATATGTAGAATTGGGAGTCAATTTATTATTCTAGAGGATGCTTTATTCTACTCTCCATTTTAAATATACGGTGTATTTTTGTTTATTAGGAGTAGGACAGGACTTTTACCAATAATTATTTTATTAGTAATAATTTTTATGAAGCAAAATTGATGCTATTAGATTTGTCTCCAAAAGTATTTTTGTATGAATATATATTTATATCGCATAAATGATATTTTAGGGGAGTAATTGTTAGTCAAATTCTTTTCCTAACAAAATAAGAACAACCTATATTTTGAAATAGAGCGAGTATAATTTTGGCGAGTAATCTGGTGGCACTGTGCATTAGATAACTTGCCACTTGCCTGGATGCACACTTGGCAATTATTATTTTTTGGTCACGCCAACTTCTTTAAGGATCCGACCAAACAAAATAATTGAGCTCCCTGTGCCTTGTCCACATAGACTTCAAATTTTTTTCTGACTTTTTTCATCAAGTTCCAACAGTGCACCTGATCCATTATAATCTTCTTGATTTATGAGCAAGGAAAAGATTGCTATTGTTATTGTTATACATGCTTTCTGGCAAGAACTATGAAGTGTGTTTGGTTGCATATGTTAGACCCATTTGTCAGTTAATGCTGGGAGAAATTCCCTTTGACAGATTCCTTTCACTTCAAGTCTTCAACAGTCTACACTCTACAGAACTATGCGCACCGGTAAGGTATACTCTCAAATAAATTGTAGGTTGTAACGGGACATAATCTAATACAGCGAATTCGAACCGGTCAAACCAACCTAGATTATGATGGGACATAATCTAATCTAATACAAAACGAATCTGACAGCCTACTATTTTGGGACCAAGAGTATAAATCTGTTCCATATCAAGAATCAGTTATAGAACAGTAATGCTATGTTGTGTTCCAGGCGTTTTGCTTTGACATGCACGTTCACATAATAAAACTGAAACTAATGAACTGGTTCTCGCATATATTTTCGTTCCACATTGCGTTATTATACTATATGGTTCAAAGTTCTGTGCCTTGGTCTCGATCATTCTGTTTGGTTTGATTGTCTATTATGTATTTCACTGATATCTGAAGGTAACTCAATGCTGATACATCTGCACACCGTCAATAGTCTAGTATTCGCATGGAATTTGTTCTATTTCTGATGATCAGGTGGGGAAGTTTAGATTCTTTTGTTTGAACAAAGGAATATAACTTCTGATGAACTGGCCTATGCATTAACTAAAAATACACCCAACCATTTATATTTGTATACGCCAGGATTTATACTTTGATGAATAGAGTCATGCATTCACGACTATACCATACTTATACCATATTTATGAAGGTCTAAGGGTAATTGATCACTTGATCCGATTCTATGTACGTAGTACGATTTATTTGGTACGAGAAACAGAGTGAGTTCTTCTATATTGCCATTTCATTGATCAATGATACATACTTGTAAAAAGAGAGAGAGGTAAAAGTATCGGGAGGTACCACACACTTTATAGTGTAAAATTTGGTAAGTGTGAAATTTGGTATCTCCAGATACTTAAAAAAAATTACGTAACTTGAGATACTTTTTTAGGACTATAAAATTTCTCTTAAAAAAAGAAGAGGGTCATCCCATCCAAAACCCAAAATTGATGGATAATTTGTGATATGGATGAACTCATCTTAATTATATTAATGGTCTGATTCCTTAATGGAATCAAACAGGGTAGCTGTATTTATCCATCAAAAATGATGATGGGGATTGGAGAATCAGAGTAGTCGAATAAAGACGGTTTGCTAGGCTTTTCCAGATGGACCACGCGTACGGTTCGCTTTCTTCTACGCCCCCTAGCGTTGGCCTAACCAAATCATGAGTCCATTTTCTTCTTCTCGATCTTCAAGATCCAGGCAAAGCTGTCATTGCACCTTGCTAATTCGTACGTTGAACATGTCCTTGCATGCACGTACTCTATCTGATCGTAATATTATGCATATACAAGGTGACTTTGCAGTGGTGTTTTTGTGCGCGTGCACGTCCTCTATATAATTGATATTTTTAAATGTTTATAACAAGATGTTTGTTCAATTTTTTTTAAAAAATATACTATACCATTAATAACTGCTCAAATATTTAGTTAAAAACATATGTGAGACTTATGAGATTTTAATTTATAAACTTTTATAATACAAAGTTAGTGATCAAATTTCAAAAGTCTAATTGAATCTAACCCTAAACATAAAAAGATGACCAGAAGGAGAAAATAATCATATATAGTATTTTAGGTCCGAAAATTTGGTTTTCCGGAAGTATCTTTAATCGGGAACACATACCTGTCTTCTTTATGAAAAGAACTAGCATATTACCCTTGTGTTGCAATGAATCTATTACCGCATTATTACCATAATTTTGTACATATATTACATCTTAATTTTTACATATATTTGTTACTAATATAGACTCTTTGCCCATATTATCCTTTTCCCTTACAAAAAAAAAGGGAGTTGATGAAGGGGGTTGACATGCATGTGAGCCCTGTAGCCCCATAGTACTTTTCCTTTTCAACAAAAGTAAGAAGTTGATGGGATGGATGGTGGCATATTCACTACTCGCTACTACCACACTTTTTAAGGGAAAATTTGAACCATGCCACACAAATTTTGCAAAATTTGTGATATGCCACCCTGACCCATATGTCATTGACTCATGTGGGTCCTACATGTCATTGAGATACGGAAATAGATATAAATGTTTTAGAAAAGCGTGGAGTTAAAATTCTAATATGTTACTACAAACAATAAACATACAACTTAAGGGCCCCTTTGAATCGCAGGGTAGAAAAAACGGAGGAATAGGAAAACACAGGATTCTGACAGGAATTGAAGTGTAAAACAGAGGATTGCAAAACACAGGAAAAATACAGGAATGGTCGTTTGATTGGAGCGCAGGAAAAACGCAGGAATCGGATAAGAGAGATAGACTCAAAGGAAATTTTCCAAGAGGTTAGAGCTCTTGCTAAATTTCCTCCAAAATCCACATGCAATGTGCCATTCCATAGGAATTTTATAGGATTTGGAAAGCTTCAATCCTTTGAATCAAAGGACCAAATAGGAAAATTTCCTATAGGATTTGAATCCTATAAAATTCCTATATAAATTCTTTGATTCAAAGGGGCCCTAAACATGTTGGGCGCACCAGAACAGAACATTTGATGGTTTCTGAATTTCCACCAAATTCAGACAGATAGTACTGCTGTCCTGACAAGTTGGAGCTTGGAAGCAAAAAACAAAAACAAAAAGGAGAGAAAGGGGAAAAAATAGATATGATACGAAGAAGAAGAAGAAGAAGAAGAAGAAGAAGAAGAGCAGATGAAACAAATGGCCCTAAGCAATGCACGTCGCCATTAGGGAGCGAGCACATGCTACCCTTGTGATGGAGTCGCCATCGATCATATTCATAATTTTCCTTTCCCTCTCCCAAGAACGATATATATCGATCAAGGATCACGACAATGTGTCACCTTTCATGTTCCAGCTGCCAATTCCGTTAGATAACAATTTGCAAATTAATACAGAGTACCTTTCTTCCAAAAAAAAAAAGATTGTGACGCTCCTGACTGATCTCCAAGCTCGATCGATCGATCTCTGCATACATATGCATGCCCACACAAGGAAAGGGGCTAAGGTATGGGTTCCCAAATGCTTGTCATGACGGCTAAAGGTGTAGGTGAGCAACTTAACTTAGCCCCTGCTAGGGTTTGAAGCAGGCCTTGATTAATTTGATATTGATGTCCATCCATTTGAATATGGCACAATCGCATTCACCTTTAGGGCATATATATGTACAATACTACAACATGCTCTCTTAGATCTAGTATGATTTAGGATCTAAAAATGCAGGATTAATTGGAGTGTCATGGCATGTTGATTACTATAGGAATTACTGCTTTCAATGGCTCGAAGAAAAAATACAAGAATTTTAGATTATATATTAATATATATATATATATATATAGAGAGAGAGAGAGAGAGAGTTGCATTAGACTTCTCGAACGAAAGAAAAACGCCGAGGTTAGATGACATGCCATAAATCTTATGGAATTGAGGTATAGGAATGCATTCCATTGGAATTTGACAAGTTTAAATCCCATCATCCAAAAGACCCCAATTGGAAAAAAACATAAGGATCAAAGGCCTTCATTTTTCTATATAAATCATGCATGTCCAAAGGAGCATTAAGAGAGTATCTCAAAACATCTATGCAAGAGTCTAATCCTCTAATACTCCACCTGTTCCTAAATACTTGACACCAAATATTATTTATATTTAAAATCTGACTATTAGTATATTTGGAAAAAAACATACTTAATAATTTATGGATGCCCATTCTCCAAAAAGATCTTCTATGTATGATAATTTCAAACAACATCTAGGGGCATGCTATCGTGTTTTGGAGTACTGACAAGCTTTTACGGAACACATCACTAAGGAGGTGTCCTGGCGTAGTGATAGTCGTGTTTGCTAGGTACGTGCAACAAATTATAATGTACCAAAATACATGCTTGGTACAAAGTATATATCACTATCGTTCTATAAAATGGAGCAACAATGTGACTATTAATGTACCCCACATCCATCTACACTTTGATTACAAGAATTACCACGATATAGTCCCAAGTTGGATATGTCGATGTAGTGATACATATGTGCCCTGTTTTGTCCCAACATAGTTCCTCTCCTGAATGGTGAAGGTGGGCCCGGCACAGGCAGAAGCTAACGACAATGTTCAATTACAAATCTGAAAGGAAAGCCACACCAACAACAATCTTAAAGGGTATCTCACTCTCACCACATTCCTAGCTGAGCCCCATAAGTCTCTCTCTCTCTACCCATCATGCATCCATTTCAGAAAAAAAGAAAAGAAGAGGAGGAAATATGATCCACTTAGGATAGTGACATTCTACAGAAAATTCGCCTTAAATAATGTACATATATGGGAAGCAGGTCATATATATTGATATATATGTGTGGATGATGTTGATAAACTATAGACTAGCTTGGGCTTTGATTTTGGGTTAGTTTGTTGGTCAGTCAGAGTAGGCAGCTCCCATGTGCTCTGCTCCAGGATGAAGGCAATGTATCACCTGAAATCTTGCTAGCTAGCTATAGTTGACATCTGCACGCATATCCTCCTTACGAAAATACAAATTAATAATGATATATTATTGTTATAATGCATATCTTGATCTTAGGTTTATATATGTACATGCGTATTAATATCTACAAGCTTGTTTGATACGGCTTTAGCTCATAAAGTTAACTCCAGGAACAGAGTTTAGAGTGAAGCAGGCCAAACCGTATTCACCAGTTCATTCTGATTCTGGCTGGAATACGTAGCCAAATATACCATTCCATCACAAAAAATGACATAGAGAATGTTGACGTATCCATTCCAGCCCCAGGTTTCTTTAGAAGACACCAATAGAGAAAAAAAAATCATAAAACTTAGTTGCATTCTCTGTAAAATTCCTCAAAAGGTCTAAATATTGTCTGCTACGTACCGAATATTAAAGCCATCTTACATATGTAGATACCAGGTAAATTATAGGTTATACCTTTTATATATGATTCCATTTATCGAATATTATTAAATGTAATGCATTTTTGAAGTAATGCATCCATTTCAAAATAAAAGAAGCTTTAGGCTTTGACACGGATATTAATTAAAATACTAGGTGGAACTAAATAGGAGAGGATTGTGACTGGTTGAGAAGAAAAAATAGATGAAGAATTTGAATAGGGGAATATTGTGATTAGTTGAGAAAAGAATGTAGCCGGATAAGTTATTATATTTTGGAAAATGCTAAAAGTTAGTATAGGACGTAGAGAGTACATATAAATGTCATACTTATTATTAATATATCGACTGCAACAGTAAGCCTAGCTAGCCAAACCTAAATGATGTCTGGAATGGGATCGACAAGTAATCATATATATGTATATGGTCCATGGTTCATCTGCCAGATGGTTGGACCTTAATTGCATATTCATTAAACTTACTAAGTATGTTTCTACAATATAATAATGATAAAGCTGAGAACTATAAAGCTGAGAGATACTTATCAGAAAATGATTGAAATACTAAAATTTCACAATCTAGTACAGCTGGAGATAAACTGTACTTGTTAGTGCTACTAGCTAGTAGCTTAGCCAACAAAGAGAAATACAACTAATATTCCCTCCAAATCAATCAATTAAGGCCTCATTTCCATTTGCACTGTCTCATCTTATAAACACAAAAGAAGGAAATGTGCCACACATATTACAGAGATCATACATTGCAAACATAATTACACACTGATGATATTACAAAGTACGTACTCACATCTAGAAAATTCAAAGCCGGATATAAAGCTAATTAAGAAGATATGTTACATCATGGCAGCCAGTACATGCCCTCCTGAAAACATGCAACATTACGCATGTAACGTGCACATACAGGCACGCGTTAAACTCACCAGGAGGGCATACAAAAAAATTAATGAACATCGATCAATAGCAACAAATCAAACATCACCAATTCTCCCAAGAATCAAGTCATGCATGGATCACCAATCCGAACACAAATACCTAGATTAATTAGATCATCAATGATCAGCTTCATTCTCCTCCATCTCCAAAAGGATCATCAATCCATCATCAGAGAGAGAGAGAGAGAGAGAGAGAGAGTTCAGACTTTCAGAGCTATATATATGTGTACTACCAAATCTTGGTCCTGCCGCCGGCGCGGCCGCCGGAGCCGGACGGCGGCGAGCACTTGTTCTTGCCGGAGGCGGAGCGGAAGGCGGCGAGGATCTGGTGGAGGCGGTCGGCGGAGCAAGGGAGCACGATGGGGCGGCCGCCGGGGGAGCCGAACTCCTCCTCCGCCGTGCTGAGGAGCTCCCGGAAGGTGTCGCTGGCGAGGCAGGCGATGGGGACGAAGAACCGGCTGCCGTCCCGGGTGTACGCCGCGAAGTGCCCCCGCGGGCACGCCGCCGCCGCCGCCGTCGGCGACGTCACCTTGCTCGACCCTGACCCGCTCCACTTCCTGGAGATCTCGGCTAGCCTCAGTGAGCTCACCATGATCGATCGATATATATATATAGAAATGACAGAGAAATTGTTGCTAAGCTAAGCTAAGCTTCTTGGAGCTTGGAGAAGCTAAGCTTGGAGTAGCTTGTGGCTGGTGATGTGTGTGAGAGAGCAGTGGAGCTCAAGGGGGGTATAAATAGAGGAGAGAAGCTAGCTATGGTCTATGGTGTGTGTGGGGCTAGGTTGCTAGGTATGTGGGGTTGTTGCATTTGCATGGAGAGGATAGGGATGGATATAGCTATATGGAGAGAGAGAGAGAGAGAGAGAGAGAGAGAGAGAGAGAGTACTAGCTTAGCTACAGGGTGAAATGAAATGAAGATGAAAGAAGAAGAAGAAGAGGAATGCATTGATCATTGCTAATTAAGTTGCCAGTATATCTGTATTTTGCATGTTAGGATGTGTAGGCCAGTCAAGTGGGTCCTGCTCATGTCAATCATGCATGAGAGTTGAGAGGAGTGGTGCTCGTCTGCTGTTGTCCCAAAATAAAACAATGTTGATCCTATACCTAAAAAGATTGCCTTTTATTTCCCCCCTGTGGTTCGTAAAGAGAAACTGGTTTTGCTTCGTACTGCACATGTGATCTAAGTTATATATATTTAAATTCGTGCAAATTTTTATGTGGATATCGTGACTTAGTGGGTTTAGCTACAGAGCACAGCGAAATGCCTCTGGCCCCGCTTGTCAGATTCTTCCTTGTAGAGGCAGTGGTGCATCCATTGCGTGACAATGACCTCCCCATGGTACACAGCCAAGGAGTGTGGCGGCATTAGCCACACGCCCAATCTTCGCGGTGAAGTCGGTGAGGAAGTGGTCATACGGATGAGCGCGGGTTGTTGGGGAGGGAAGCCAGGATGTGGAAGAAGCATACCACTTTCAGCCGACACATGGTGTCCAGGTCAGGGCAGAGCACTAGGGAAGTAAGCCCCCTCCTTATACTGCACTAGAGATACATCGATTATGCACTATGGTGAGCGGACGGAGCCCCATTGTTGATAGATAGACTAGACATGATGTCACAACGCATCCCTCAGGTGATGACCCAATAAAGGACGCAAATTCAGTGATCTTCGGTAACAGGGCCCTCGCTTTTGACACCTCGTCCATGGCCCACAGCCTTGGCACATATAATCAACAGATTAGCCGCACCCCCATGTGTCTATCGCCAGGTCCTGCTCCTCCTCCGCTGCCACTACACACCACAACATAAATGTATAGAAGCACTTAGTTTGTTGGAAGAAACAATTGTTAGCAGTGAATTGGTGAAATATTTTACCTACTTTTGCCACTAGAAAATTTTCACCTCACGTACTTTTTTTATGCTTTCCGTCGGTTGGTCCTGCTCATATGGTATCAATTTTGACTGACGCCTCTTAATATACCGACAAGCAGTGAGTGCTTACCGGCATATAGTATGCCATGTTTTTTTTGAGAAAATTCGATCCATAGCACAGAAAAAAAAATGCAGTACCAAAAAATAGCACAAGAAGTTTCCGCTTTCGATTCATAGCACAGACCACCGGTTTTTCTTCGTCCCGTAGCACTTCCGTCGCATTTTGAAGTAACGGTGTTAGATTGGAGTGGAGAAATTTTTCATCGGACTCATTTGCCCTTCGTCTCATCTCCAACGACGGCCGCTCAACACAACCGTCCGCCTCTTCATGCTGTCCGGCCCAGGCATCAGCGTCGACGACGGCCGCGGCCGTGGCAGGTTGTCGCTGATGCTGTACTTCCACGGCGGCCACAGGTGGGGAAAGGAAGCGACCCATCGGTGGCTCCCCCCATCCGCAAGAGCTCCAGCATGGGGAACCTTTCCCTCATATCCTCTTCTCCGCCGCCGAATCTAAAGGCCAAGAATGATGTTCAGTTCCTATTAGAAGAATTGAGCAATTCTCTGTTAAAGAAACTGACCTGAGCTCGGCAATGCAAATCAATGGTGTCCTTGGAGTTCGGAATTTAATTTTTGCAAATCATTGATTAAGCAGTACACAACAAACTAGTTCATCAAGAGTTACTAGCCACCACCGCCGAGCAAGCCGTGACATTGATTCCGCTGGCTGCCGAGCAAGCCGCCGCCGAGTATCCTGCCAGCCGCTGCCGTTGTCGCCATTTTCGCCCCGTCCCATGCGCCGCCTAGCCGGCTGCTCTCACGACAGAACAATGATGAACAGGCAATGGTCCAGCCCAAAGTCATGTGTGAATACGGGAGGACTAAGGGCAAATTTGTCATTTTTTATTCCTGCTCACGACCAAACGCTTAACCCTCACGGCAGATCTGACGGAAATACCATGGATCGAAAAAAAACAAGTGTGTTGTGCTACCAGTTGAAAGTGAAATTTTTTTTTACTATTTTTTGGTACCAGCTTAACTTATGTGCTATAGATCGAATTTTCTCATGTTTTTTTGCCGCCAGATAGTCTGACGAAGCATTATTTTTTTAGGAAAATGTCTGAATTACGCCCTGAACTATTATTGTGGTAGTACGGATCCCCTCAATTCAAAAAGCAAATATTCTTTACTCTTAACTTTTTATACCGGACGAATTACCCCCTTGATAGACTCTAGAGCGGTTTTGGTTTTACGTAGCGCACACCTTGGTGGTTTTCATGCTATCAAAACAAGTTTTCTACAAGTTTATGTACTGAATTATACCCATATAATTTACGCTTTTTCGGATGTCTAACGGGTTTGCAGCAACTACCGAATTGAAATAAGTCAACCCTGCAGTCTCTCCTCTCCCTCAAATGACAAATGAAACGATACCCATTTAATCAATTTCTTTGGACAACTTATTTCATACCTCATTTTCATTGAAACCAAATCTATACATGCATATGTACTCCTACATGTTACACCAACCATGACGCATACCTGTAACCTGCTTCCACGGGTAGAGAAACAATCTTTAGTCGGTTGACCCAAATCCACAATAGTCCCGGTTCCATTAAAAACCGGGACTAAAAATGATTTTTTAGTCCCAGTTAATAAGAGGAAAATCTTTAGTCCTGGTTGTTGTTACGAACCGGGACTAAAAATCATCTTTAGTCCCGGTTGGTAACTCTAACCGGGACTAAAGTTCATACCAACCGGGACTAAAGATCATTTTTAGTCCCGGTTGATTCCATGTCAGGCCGTGTCAGGGCCCTAGGATCTTTAGTCCCGGTTAATAACACCAACCGGAACTAAAAATAGGTTTTTAGTCCCGGTTTTCCTCTCTAACTTCTTATCTCTTTCCTTATCTCTAACTCCCCTCCTCTCCCTCCTCTCCTTCCTTTTTTTCCTTCACCCCACAGCACCCTCGTCTCCTTCCTTTTTTCCCGAAGAAGCGTGCAGGCGGCCGGCGCGGCGGCGGAGGCTCGGGGGGCGGCGCAGAGGCGGCGGCGCGGGGGGCCACGCGGAGGCGGCCTGCGCGGCGGCTGTGGTGGGTGGCCGGCGCGGCGGCGCTGGGGGCCGCGCGGCGGCGGCCTGCGCGGCGGCTCGGGGGGCCACGCGGCGGCGGCCGGCGCGGAGGGGAGGAGGGGAGACGGCAGTGACCGCCGGCCGATTTTTTTTTAGATGTGAATCTGTGATTTATTTTTGTCTGAGATGTGAATCTGTGATGAATTTTTTAGAACTATGTGATGTAATTTTTTTAAGAGTTTGTGATGTATTTGGAGATGATCTATTTTTTTAAAGAGTTTGTGATGTATTTGGAGATGATCTATTTTTTTAAAGAGTTTGTGATGTATTTGGAGATGATCTATTTGAGGATTTGGAGATGTTCTGTGATATGTGATGATTTGGATTTGGGAGGGGAGGGTGTGAAATCAATATTCAATATTAAAAACAGAAAAAAAAAGAAAAATTATCTTTAGTCCCGGTTGGTAACACCAACAGGAGCATCTTTAGTACCGGGACTAAAGATCAATCTTTAGTCCCGGTTATTTGAACCGGGAGTCCCAGATTCGTAGTCCCGATTGGAAAATCGGGACTACAGAGGGGTTACGAACCGGGACTAAAAAGCACTTCTCCACCAGTGTTCGCACATGCATATGCGTGCATGTACATGCTGGGCGCTAACGTGTGATATGTTGGACCTTTATTTTGGAAGGCACGCAATTAAGTCGATTATTACATCTTATATTAAAATGTGTAAAATGCAGATATTGTTTCAAAGATTTGTATGTGTATGTACGTCAAAATATTCCATATAATGGCTGTGAATGTGACCTTATTTTTCTTTATGAAATCGTAGGTCTAGCTATATGATGGCCCTATTGGATTTATAAAATTTAGTGAGGTCCACGGCAATGGCAGAGCTTGACTTAAAAAAGATTAATTAAGGAAGCAAGACATATATCACTAAACTACACAAATACATATATTGAAGGAGCAATTTGAGAATTGAGAGCTTAATCAATGCTAAAATAACTAATAATCACTAAACTACTTAATAGGGACTGTTTAATAACTAATGATCCACTTTAATCTACATGATGTTTCACTCCTGTCCATAGATTTATAGTTGGTCTCCACCTGTTGAAACATGTGTTGAAAACACACTTATCGGGGAAAAAAAATTATGATGGTTTTATGCACGGTAGTAATGTGGTTGCATGAATGTTGGTGCGTGGGATATTAATTTTCTCGGCATAATTCATCCATGTTGGTTACTAGAAATAAACTCTCTCCGTTCAAAAATAATTATAATTTTAATATTTAAATTTTATCCATAAAGAATGCATCTTTCCCTTCAACCGCCTTTATTCAAAAGTTCTCATCATCTTATCCCTAACCAGCATCCGCTCTCCCAATCATCAATCGTTTAATGAGGACATACAAGTCATTTTTTTATACTAACCTTTTTCAATACTACCTCCGTTTTTTAATAGTTTTTTAATAGATGACGCCGTTGACTTTTTATCACACGTTTGACCATTCGTCTTATTCAAAAAATTTACGTGATTATAATTTATTTTATTGTGAGGTTTTTTATCACTCAAAGTACTTTAAGCATGATTTATATCTATACATTTACATAATTTTTTTTAATAAGACGAATGATCAAACATATGTTCAAAAATCAACGGCGTCATCTATTAAAAAACGGAGCGGAGCGAGTATATTACAAATGTAATTTTTATACTGAGGGAGTATGATCCTAAATCCACAAATAATATAGAGTATATAATAATATATCTTCGGTCCAAGTGGCCACAGAGGCAGCAACAAGGCCAGCGGCCAGGAGAAGCAGAGTCTGCAACTCTGCATGTGTGGCTTGCTTGCTACTCCACGGATTTGAAATATCTGAAAATATTCCA